AATAACCTTGCACAGGAGCAAGTGATTATACTGTTTTGATAACATTATGTTTCCTGTAGTGTGAAATTCTAGTAACAATCCATTGCATTTGATTCTGTATCTGCTTGCGAGGACAGGATGTCATCTAGCAATGAACCCAGGTTACTGCTACAGTGCTCCAGCCAGTCAGCTTTCTGTGTCACCATATCACTGAGATTGAGCTTTGAGATGGCTAACAAGAATTCTTCTGCACTGACATTAACTTCTGGATCAAAATTGAAGTTCCTACTAACACTGGAGGCATTACCACCAACATTTAGACAATCATGGTAAACATCTGCCAGTAGATTCATATCAGTTTCATTAATGATTGCATCAATGACTTGGTCTGAGTCACTGGCCAGTCTTGATCGTACAGTGCCCATCTCACCCTCGCCACTGTCCATGTTGGTTGTCCTTGACTGATTTACTCTATTTGCAGGGGTCAGACAAGTGCCTACCTCACAACCAAATGAGTCATACACGCCCCTGAAATTACTGTTTGTAGGTCTGACACAGTTCCTCACAAGATCAGGCAGAGGTTTCGGTGTTTCCACATCCGGCACGAGCCGATGCCTCATCAACACACTGTTGAGTGTCATGATGATATCTGCAGCTTTGTATACAACCTGGAGATCATGGTCTTGAAGGGCTGACAGAAGCACCTGAACAATCCCACAAGAAGAACGTAAGTTAATATTTAAAAGAGCAGTACATGTACTGAGCACATTAAGATGCTGCTTGTTGTGTGAGATGAAGGTTTTCACCACAGTTAATGTTAAGGTTACAGTCTCCTGGGATGTGATGCTATGTAGTCTGCTAGGTGGGTACCAACATTCCAGAAGAACCTGCTGCTTATATATTCTGCTTGGAAGATAGAGGCACCATGTTCATCTGAAAGATTTGTATCACAAGACTTCACGGTGTCACAACACAGAACGCCATGATCTTAACTTTCAGTATCATCACAACCTCAAATCTTATTATGATGAGAGGCTATTTACTATATTTAGAAACTATTAAAAACATTTTGCAGAACTCATGAGTAAAACAAACTATGGTGAAGTTGAGTTTGAGGTTCTCACAACACTGACTATGGAGAGCACCATCATCTGGGTTGTGCTGTGTAATCTGGTACAAAGTCACTGATATTTTGGAGAAATGCAGAAGAAAGTACTCTCCAAAAAATATTTACTTAAATTTAATTTAAAAAATGTATTGAGCATTATATGCAGAAACACATACTGGAGAGAATGCATCATGGTCCATACTTTTACCAGAAATGCAGTGTTTATATTCAGCCAAAACAAGCACATTTTGAACATTTGTAAGTTATCTGGAGAAAATGAACAGTTTCTCGCTGAAATATCACCAATTCTGCATTTTACAAGCGGGGCAAGGAAATTCTAAATGTTGCTGATGTACTTATATTTGATACTTTTGAAATGATTTATGGTCTGCCATGTAAAGAGAATGGATGGAACAAGGATACTGGTAAAGGCTTTAGAATTAAAATTTAAAGGTAAGAGACCCATGGAATGACCAGTATATGAAAATTTAGCATGTACTTGAAACATCAAGAAAAGGGGAAAAAGTTGGCAACAAAATGAAAGATTGTGGTAGTAAGAAGACTGGAAACCTTTTGTTGATCAACCTACATAAAATGGCAATTATGCTAAAAGTACTAGAAGAAAGAGGAGGGGGAGGGGGAGAAGAATCAGTATAAGAAGAAGACTTTATCTTGAACACATTACCATAAAGTGGATGGAATGGTCTATTTACTTCACTACACACTCCACTCACTCATGGAGCTGAGTTCTTCTTCAGAAGCTGCCAATTGTGCAGCTACTCAAGAACTTCCCAGTGTTTTATGGAACCTGAAGGTTCATTACCATGTTCGCAAGAGCCATCCACTCGTCCCTATCCTGAGCCAGATAAAGCCAATCTATACCATCCCATCCTATCTCTTTAAGATCCATTTTAATATTGTCCACCAAACTACATCTTGGTCCTCCCAATGGTCTCCTTCCTTTTGACTTTCCCACCAATATCCTACATGCATTCCTCTTCTTCCCCATTCGTGCTACTTGCCCTGCCTATCTCATCCTCCTTGACTTGATCATTCTAATTATACTTGGAGAAGAGTACAAGTTATGAAGCTCGTCATTATGCAGTTTTCTCCAACCTCCTGTCACTTCATCTCTCTTTGGTCCAAATATTCTCCTCAACACCCTGTTCTCAAACACCCTCAGTCTATGTTCCTCCCTTAAAGCCATGGACCAGATTTCATACCCACACAGAACCACAGGCAAAATTATAGTTTTTTATGTTCTAATTTTTATGTTTTTAGACAGCAGACAAGAAGACAAAAGGTTCTGAAATGAATGGTAGCAAGCATTACCCAAGTTCAATCTCCTCTTAATTTCCGCCTGAATCAGGTTCTGATTTGATATCGTTCCCAAATATGTGAACTGTGCCACATTTTCAAAACATCTGTTTNGTATCTCCTCTTGTGTGATTTGGCTCTCCTCTTTTCAGCTGTCCAGCTGTCAATATGTCATCGTCATCATCATCATCCACCGATATTTCCACAATGGCAGATAGTCTTTAAGACATAATTTCTTCCATTCTCCTGTAAGCATTCTTATTGCACCTGTGTCCACTCTTCTGTAAGTTTTCCTTCTTGGTCTCCTAATCTAATTCTTGTCTTCCCCATGCTCATTTATTTGCCACAGCTCTCACATCTCCTTAAAGACTGACCAACAAATGTGCTGTAATGGAGAGGAGATATATTAAAGACACAAAATGGTGCCCCTCATGGCAGTGTTGACAGGCTCACAAAGCCAGTCCATAACATTTACACTAAAATATCTTTGACGATGCATCACCATTAGACAGTGACATACACTGAACAGGCTGGTCTAGAGGTAACACTCTTAGGCTTGTACCCCGAGATGCTCAGTTCAAGTTTCTGCCAGGACACCAGCAATTCTGGGGTTTCTTTTGTCCCTCTAGACAAATGCTGGGATAGTACACTTGATTATGCCATGACTGCTTCCTTCCAAATCCTTTCCAATTCTTCATTTATCTCCCATCCTACCATCTGACACTACATAAGCTTGATACTGGAAACATCATTCAATAACCAATGTAACATTGTTAGAAAGTCACTATATCCTATTTCCAATTCACACAGGGAACCAAAATCGCCATGTTGGAGATCTGTTTAAAGACTCAGAATTCTTCTTCCATAAGATTGCCTAATCAAGGGACAGTGCACTCTCAAAGACACTTCCGATATTCTGCATACGATACCGTCTTACGGTTCAGATGTCTGAGGATCACAGTTTACCTACTCCACAGTCTAATGTCAAGGAGCAAGATGACTGCCTTTAGTTATCACATTCTTGGGTTTTCCTAACTCAGATATGTCTTATACCAGTTACCTCTAATAAACGACGGTGCTTCCAGCAATAAGATATGCTGTATGGTCATATGGGTCATATGAGCTTTTAAGTCCAGCACTGTCTATCACTTGAAGTCACACTTAGTACACTTTGGTCTCAAAAATGTTGGACTGCAGCTCCAAATTGATGTGGCTGTTTGCCCAGAAAAGTTGTCACTTTTATTCACCATAATGGGTTCCAATCTTAAGTCTGTTCTAAACATTCTATAGATCATGAGTGACAATGTTAGACTGAACTGGTAGTAACTGCGGGCATTCTCATTCAGTCAATCTTAACGAAGCATGAAATTCATCTAAATAATATTCAAAAATACATTCATTAAAACACATTACATCATGATTACAAAGACCATAAGATTTATTGTGAACACTGTGAAACACATATATACATTCTGCAGGTAAAATGCAGAGTTTCTGAGGGTTACCACTGTGCTTACAGGGCAAACAGACGCATTCTCCTTGTTCATGGACAGTACATATATTCAGATCATAAAGTATGTATTACTAACTTTTATTTGTTCACCACTTTCAAAGAGAGAAATTAATACAACACTTCGTATTGTATATTTAAAAATGTTACAAAATACAGTTATCTGTATGTAATATGAAATGCACTGGTAAATATTGATACATTTTTTGTAGTGTATTTTACTATATTTTGATTCAAAATAGATTATAACTAACAAACTACATACAAGTGAAACCCTTAAGTAACATGGTCCCATTACATGAATCACTGAAACCAGAATGATCATCAAAACAGAAAGGCTTATGGCGTGAACAGCAGCAAATGGAACTGGGCTGTTTTTGATCCTGTCCATGCTCATTTTTGTTAACAGAAATTTAGTTTTCTTGCTTTATTTCCATGGTAACCATAGCTTATACTGAAGGTTTCTATCATTTGGGACATAACATCATGTTGTCTGGCGAAAGTCAACTGGCATTTCAAAAAGCATGTCACCTCCATTTTCAGGATCAAAGAGTAAGCCAAGCAATAAGAAAGCAGTAAGCAGCATGGGACAGACCATATGTTATATAAAATTAGTTGGGAATGACAGATTTCTTATAAGATACAGACCTGTCCTCTCATCAGAGAGGATGTCCCAGTTAAGATTAGGGCTATACTCTCATCATGAGCACCAGACGGGGCCATATACCAAGAAGAACCTACTGAACATCAGTTCTAATGTGACTTACATTCTGGTGCAGCTAGCTATGCTTGGCTTATCCTTCAACTGTGAAGATGGAAGCAGTATATTCACTCAAAATTTGCTGAACTTCTCTCAGATTACATGGCATCACATGCAACTCACCACAACGAGAGCCAAAGATCAAATACTGTTAGTTTTTTAATGCCACTATCAATATTGAGAGTATACAGAGCCGATGACAGCATCAGTGAATATGGAGCAGTTGCTGGAATTAGAAATGGCAGGGGAAACTGAAGTACTCTGAAAAAACCTTCCCCAGTGTCACTTTGTCCACCACAAACCCCATATGATTTGACCTGAAACTGAACCCAGGCTGCTGCTGTGGGAAGCTGGTGAATAGCCACTTGAGCTATTCTTAACTATCTCTTCTTTTCAAAGACAAACACAAGTTATTAAGAACTAAAAGTTTGTGACGGTGGTATGTTACGTAATTATGGACTTTACCGACATTATCCATCAGCCTATTTTTTATTTTAAAACAGAACCATGAGTAATGTCCAAAAAGTCAATAATTGTTCAAGTTACATTTACTTTCAAAGGAAGGTTTATTCTACTGTATATTTTTCTAAGGAATGTAGCTCATTGCCATCTATTGTCACTTCTCTGTATCATGCAAAAGGATCCAAGAGACAGCAAATTAATGTCTCTTTACGTGCCGTTCGGTTCAAGTGGCTAGCTGTAATAGTGTCTGCCAAACAACAGGGGCAAGCTCTAAATAACCTTGCACAGGAGCAAGTGATTATACTGTTTTGATAACATTATGTTTCCTGTAGTGTGAAATTCTAGTAACAATCCATTGCATTTGATTCTGTATCTGCTTGCGAGGACAGGATGTCATCTAGCAATGAACCCAGGTTACTGCTACAGTGCTCCAGCCAGTCAGCTTTCTGTGTCACCATATCACTGAGATTGAGCTTTGAGATGGCTAACAAGAATTCTTCTGCACTGACATTAACTTCTGGATCAAAATTGAAGTTCCTACTAACACTGGAGGCATTACCACCAACATTTAGACAATCATGGTAAACATCTGCCAGTAGATTCATATCAGTTTCATTAATGATTGCATCAATGACTTGGTCTGAGTCACTGGCCAGTCTTGATCGTACAGTGCCCATCTCACCCTCGCCACTGTCCATGTTGGTTGTCCTTGACTGATTTACTCTATTTGCAGGGGTCAGACAAGTGCCTACCTCACAACCAAATGAGTCATACACGCCCCTGAAATTACTGTTTGTAGGTCTGACACAGTTCCTCACAAGATCAGGCAGAGGTTTCGGTGTTTCCACATCCGGCACGAGCCGATGCCTCATCAACACACTGTTGAGTGTCATGATGATATCTGCAGCTTTGTATACAACCTGGAGATCATGGTCTTGAAGGGCTGACAGAAGCACCTGAACAATCCCACAAGAAGAACGTAAGTTAATATTTAAAAGAGCAGTACATGTACTGAGCACATTAAGATGCTGCTTGTTGTGTGAGATGAAGGTTTTCACCACAGTTAATGTTAAGGTTACAGTCTCCTGGGATGTGATGCTATGTAGTCTGCTAGGTGGGTACCAACATTCCAGAAGAACCTGCTGCTTATATATTCTGCTTGGAAGATAGAGGCACCATGTTCATCTGAAAGATTTGTATCACAAGACTTCACGGTGTCACAACACAGAACGCCATGATCTTAACTTTCAGTATCATCACAACCTCAAATCTTATTATGATGAGAGGCTATTTACTATATTTAGAAACTATTAAAAACATTTTGCAGAACTCATGAGTAAAACAAACTATGGTGAAGTTGAGTTTGAGGTTCTCACAACACTGACTATGGAGAGCACCATCATCTGGGTTGTGCTGTGTAATCTGGTACAAAGTCACTGATATTTTGGAGAAATGCAGAAGAAAGTACTCTCCAAAAAATATTTACTTAAATTTAATTTAAAAAATGTATTGAGCATTATATGCAGAAACACATACTGGAGAGAATGCATCATGGTCCATACTTTTACCAGAAATGCAGTGTTTATATTCAGCCAAAACAAGCACATTTTGAACATTTGTAAGTTATCTGGAGAAAATGAACAGTTTCTCGCTGAAATATCACCAATTCTGCATTTTACAAGCGGGGCAAGGAAATTCTAAATGTTGCTGATGTACTTATATTTGATACTTTTGAAATGATTTATGGTCTGCCATGTAAAGAGAATGGATGGAACAAGGATACTGGTAAAGGCTTTAGAATTAAAATTTAAAGGTAAGAGACCCATGGAATGACCAGTATATGAAAATTTAGCATGTACTTGAAACATCAAGAAAAGGGGAAAAAGTTGGCAACAAAATGAAAGATTGTGGTAGTAAGAAGACTGGAAACCTTTTGTTGATCAACCTACATAAAATGGCAATTATGCTAAAAGTACTAGAAGAAAGAGGAGGGAGAGGGGGAGAAGAATCAGTATAAGAAGAAGACTTTATCTTGAACACATTACCGTAAAGTGGATGGAATGGTCTATTTACTTCACTACACACTCCACTCACTCATGGAGCTGAGTTCTTCTTCAGAAGCTGCCAATTGTGCAGCTACTCAAGAACTTCCCAGTGTTTTATGGAACCTGAAGGTTCATTACCATGTTCGCAAGAGCCATCCACTCGTCCCTATCCTGAGCCAGATAAAGCCAATCTATACCATCCCATCCTATCTCTTTAAGATCCATTTTAATATTGTCCACCAACCTACATCTTGGTCCTCCCAATGGTCTCCTTCCTTTTGACTTTCCCACCAATATCCTACATGCATTCCTCTTCTTCCCCATTCGTGCTACTTGCCCTGCCTATCTCATCCTCCTTGACTTGATCATTCTAATTATACTTGGAGAAGAGTACAAGTTATGAAGCTCGTCATTATGCAGTTTTCTCCAACCTCCTGTCACTTCATCTCTCTTTGGTCCAAATATTCTCCTCAACACCCTGTTCTCAAACACCCTCAGTCTATGTTCCTCCCTTAAAGCCATGGACCAGATTTCATACCCACACAGAACCACAGGCAAAATTATAGTTTTTTATGTTCTAATTTTTATGTTTTTAGACAGCAGACGAGAAGACAAAAGGTTCTGAAATGAATGGTAGCAAGCATTACCCAAGTTCAATCTCCTCTTAATTTCCGCCTGAATCAGGTTCTGATTTGATATCGTTCCCAAATATGTGAACTGTGCCACATTTTCAAAACATCTGTTTACTATCTTTATGTCATGATTCTGCCCTGCAGTTTGGTGATGAGACAGCAACATATTCTTCATTTTATCTGTGTTTACTTCTAGACCAACTTCCTTCCTAGCCTCAATTAAAGTTAGTGTGTTTCTCTTTATGGAATCTATATTTTCACCCAGCAGATTAACATCATCAGCACAGACCAAGAGCTGATGTGTCCCATTGAATTTCAGTCCCACCTAGTTTTCCTGCACCTTCCTAATGGCATATTCTAAAGCAAAGCCGAAAAGCAGTGGTGACAAAGCATCTCTTTTTTAGACCATTCTGGATAGGAAAATTATCAGACAAATGTTTACCTATATGGACTTTACACCACATATAACAAATTTGAGTTAATCATATTTTGAGACACTTATGTGGGAAATCTACAAGCGCATTACAGTTTGTTTACACTCACCTGTAAGCACCTGTTTCGTGCAAGCTCCCCCAATACTTTGTTCAGTCGCAATTTGATCTCGTTTTCTGTCAGTAGCACTATTTTCCTATTCTCTTTAGAGAATGTCACGGATGGAAATACGCCATCAATCATTCCCTGGTCTGACATCTGCCGCTCTATCACCTTCTCCCAGAACTGGAGCGCATTTACTTTTACTTCCCAGTGTAAATCTGACACTACTGCAAGTGCCATCGCCGTGAACACGTTACTCAGTTCTGCCTTTCTGTAACAACATGCACACATTTTAATTAGCTTAACCAGTTTCATGGGTATCCCAAACTCTATCAGAATATCGTACAATACTTACCTCCTAACTGAATCACAGATTTTCTCCAATATATGATGAATGCAAAAGATCTTATCTGTAGTTGATCTGTTATGTCAAAACCCACACGATGGTCCCCAATAATTTCATCTATGTATATACTTAACCTTCAGAGAAGAATATTGGATAAAATTTTGTATGAAGTCGATAGCAGCAATATCCCCCAATAATTATTACAGTCAGTTTTATCACCCTTCTTGTGAACTGGTACAATAACAGATTCCTTCCAGTGATTGGGCAATTTTTCGTTATGCCACATAGAAGTAATGAGGTTATGGATCTTAGAATGTAATATTTCGCCTCTGCTGGAATTTGATCACCGCCTGGCAATTTATACCTTTTCGATTCTGCAATAGCACTTTCAACCTCAAAAGGGCTGGGATCTGGTATTAACGGCTCAGCTGTGTGCATTTCTAGCTGCCTAACATCACTGACCCTATGTACATTCAATAACTGAGAGAAGTAGTTCTTCCACCTATTCAAAATGTTGTGGGAATCTGCAAGCAGATGGCCATTCTCATCCTTCACTAAGTTACTTTTAGGTTATTACGTGTACTTACGGTCGTTAATTATTTTGTGCGCTTCCTTGTATGTGTGTTATATGTATGTCATCATGCTTAGCTCAGTGTGGACTAACTAGTGATCACCAGTGATCCTCATAATGGCGTATTGTGTTTTGTGTGGTATTTGGCTGGGAGGGATGGAGGGGGGTACTGGGATGGGGGTGTGTGGAGGTAGTTTTATGGGTGTATTAATTAGGGTTATTTATTATAAGGTTGAAGATGGGATTACGTATGTTTGCAAAGGTGTCTTTCATTTGTAGCTTCTTTTCCGTGAAGTCATATATATGAAAGCTGTACCATATGTGAGACCTGTATCAAGTATATGTTGAGCATATTTGGAAGTTTGTTTATTAATTCTTATAGCTTGAATATGCTTCTATGCCGATCTTTCAACATATGTCCTGTTTGTCCAATGTCTGTCAGGATGGTCAAGTCTAGGATCAGCTATAAGATCTGATATTTCACAGTTAACTTGCCTGAGGAGCCTGGATAGCTCAGATGATACAGTGATTATGCTGTGGGTTTAACCGTGGAGGAATCAGTGTTCAATCACTGACTGGGCCAAAAGAATTTTTCTCTTCTCCAGTGTTGAGACCAGCTGTGTGGCCCATCCAGATTCCTAACCAAAGCATACCAGAAGCCCTGTTCCCAGGGCTGAAGCTGGCAACTGAGCTCCATCTAGTGCCAAAGTTAAAAATCCATGGAGCTATGCTTCTGCTCCCTCATATGTCTTTATGGTGTAGTGCTTAATTATCTATAGGACAACTTTACCTTTCAGTTTCTTGAAAAATGAGGTTCTCCATGTGTCTTAAACACAGATTACAAGATACAAATATTTTGTTTCTGGACATAATTTATCATCCTGTTTTTTAATTAAAACATAACGTTTCAGAGATTGGATTCTGTCTCCATCAGAGAATCTGGAATCCAGTCTTTGAAACACTGTGTTTTAAATAAAAGCAGGATGATGAATTATGTGCAGAAACATAATAATTGTATTAATGTACCATCAGCACAAACTTTTAGATCTTATTTACAAATTACAAGAACTTACAAGAACTTGTGATGTTCATAGATCTCTTTCAAGAGAGCAGCTGCTTCGCGACGGACGATGCCCTCACTCTCGCCTTGCAGGATTGTCATCATCTTGCTCTGGAACACCATAAGAGGACTTGCAAATGAATGGTTCAATACTTTTCCACCTGCTCATCTTATACAGAAGTAAGTACGAGTAAAATCATTGTAACGAACATAAATTGAAGAAAATAGTTATGTCTACTTTAATCCTTATAATGCTGTAACATCTCTGCCTGAAGAGGCAAGAAATTCTATATATATATACACATATCATAATGAATACATGAGCATATGTAATTTGAATTTCAGAACTAATAATCATTTCTTATACAATAATTTAGGCACAATTTGTGTTTAAAAAAATTAATATTCACAATAATTTTTGTTAAGGGAGAATACATAGCCCATTCTTTAAGTTTTATAGACATGTTTTCTTTCTTTCTGTGTGGGTAAAACACCATAACTCAAACATCTGTAATGCAGGAATGCACAATGTATTTAAAAGAATAACTTGATATCTTAACAAGTTCTATCAAATTCTGTAAACATGGATTAGCAGGGGGACAGGGTATCTGTTATCGCCAAATTCTGCTGTAACTAAGTGAAGGGGTACTCACGGAAGTACAGAATAGGATATATACCCAGTACACACAATAAACATAGATTACATAAAGGTTTTTATATTGGGGTTATTTTTTTATTTAAACAGTTTCATAACCCCAAAACCTTCCTTTTGCATCAATATCTCTAAAAGTTCATGACTGTACACAGCCAGGTTTCATCCATTATTATCAGCATTTATGATGATGAGGGTTTACCATTAATTAATTTTGCTTAGTGGGGGGTGGAGTCCAACTGGGTCCACTCGGCACAACAGCCACTGACTGGCATATTGTAGCCTGCCCTGGGTGATTATGATGATGGAGAATTTGGTGGAATGAAGATTAACAGGGGAAACCGAAGTACTCGGAGAAAACCCACCCCAGCACCACTTTGTCCACCACAAATCCCACTTGACCAGATCTGGGATGGAACCCGGGCCACCGTGGTGGGAAGCCAGTGACTAAACGCTTGAGCTATGGCGCAGCCAGGGTTTACCATACATGTAAGATGAAATATCCCTGTGAGATAAAATTTGTGTGTGAGGGTTACAAATGTGCCTGAAAGGACAGTAGGTCAATATTAGCATTGCTTCTTGTTCTGCTATACACATGGACTCACTGGCAGATCCTCTGATGCAAGGCAGTCTGTCCACAAGCGCTGCACCCTCACCATGCAGCATAAGCACTTAATGGCTGATGCCCTCACATAGCTCTCAGAGTCATCCATTGCCAGCACCAGCACCAGAGGACATAGTTCATTCTCCAGTACATGCTCCTGGAAGGCTGGAAATTCTGTGGACACAAAACGGTACAATCACCTCATGAGTCAGGTTTTATTCCTTGATATGTGTGAATATAAAAACTGGAAATCGAAGATGTCTTACTGAAGACTCAGTGTTAAATGTGAGGATATATACCTAAGTGGATGTTTTTTAACTCTCTGAAGTATGAATTTCAACTAAATAATACCACAAAATTCCTCACAGAAAATTCACTGTGACTTAATTACAAAGCCAAGGTGGATAATATACTCTTTGGTGGCAAAGGTTAGGGAAAGACTGGCAGTGAGCAAACAAACAACACACAGAGTTCATATGGAGAGGTTCAATCTCAAGAAATTAAATGAGGTAGAGGGTAAAGAGCAGTATTGTGTTGATATCTCAAATGGGTTCACGGCTTTGGAAAACTTGGACACTGAGGTGGATGTTAATAAAGCTTGGGAAACTATTAGAGAGAATATATAAATGTCTGCCAAAGAGAGTCTAGGTTATTATGAACCGAAGAAGCATAAGCCATGGTTCGACGAAGAATGCTCAAAATTATTAGATCAAAGAAAGCAGGCCAAATTGAAATGGTTACAGGATCCAAGCAAGTTAAATGGGGATAATCTGAACAATATAAGACATGAAAACAGCAAGCATTTCAGGAATAAAAAGGGAATATCTGAAAGATAAAATTGATGAGCTTGCAATGAAAAGTAAGAACAAGAACATTAGAGACCTGTATAGAGGAATAAATGACTTTGAGAGGGGTTACCAGTCTAGCAGTAACTTAGTGAAGGATGAGAATGGTGATCGGCTTGCAGATTCCCACAACATTTTGAATAGGTGGAGGAACTTCTTCTCTCAGTTACTGAATGTACATAGGGTCAGTGATGTTAGGCAGACAGAAATTGATATGGCTGAGCCGTTAGTACCTGACCCCAGCCATTTTGAGGTTGAAAGTGCTATTGCAAAATTGAAAAGGTATAAATCACCAGGTAGTGATCAAATTCTGGCAGAACTTATTCAAGCAGGAGGTGAATTACTACATTCTAAGATCCACAATCTAATTACTTCTATTTGGCATAAGGAAAAATTTTCTGATCAGTGGAAGGAGTCTATTTATGTACTAGTTCACAAGAAGAGTGATAAAACTGACTGTAGTAATTATCGAAGGATATCACTGCTATCAACTTCATACAAAATTTTATGCAATATTCTTCTCTCATGGTTAAGTCCATATATAGATGAAATTATTGGGGATCATCAGTGTGGGTTTTGACATAACAGATCAACTACAGATCAGATCTTTTGCATTCATCATATATTGGAGAAAAAATTGGAGTACGATGAGACACTAAATCAGCTATTCATAGACTTCAAGAAAGCCTATGATTCAGTTAGAAGGGAAGTATTGTACAATATTCTGATAGAGTTTGGGATACCCATGAAACTAGTTAGGTTGATTAAAATGTGTTTAAACAAAACGTATAGTAAAGTCCGTGTAGGTAAACATTTGTCTGATAAATTTCCTATCCAGAATGGTCTGAAAGGAGATGCTTTATCGCCACTCCTTTTCAACTTTGCTTTAGAATATGCCATTAGGAAGATCCAGAGAAACCAGGTGGGACTGAAATTAAATGGGACACATCAGCTGTTGGCCTATGCTGATGAAGTGAATCTACTGGGTGATAATGTAGATACCATAAATAAAAACACACAAACTTTAATTGAGGCTAGTAAGGCAGTTGGTCTAGAAGAAAACACAGAGAAAACGAATATGTTGCTTTCTTGTCACCAAACTGCAGGGCAGAATCATGACGTAAAGATAGGAAACAGATGTTTTGAAAATGTGGCACAGTTCACATATTTGGGAAACGACTATATCAAATCAGAACCTGATTCAGGAGGAAATTAAGAGGAGATTGAACTCTGGTAATGCTTGCTACCATGCATTTCAGAACCTTTTGTCTTCTCGTCTGCTGTCTAAAAACATAAAAATTAGAACATACAGAACTATAATTTTGCCTGTGGTTCTGTACGGGTGTGAAACATAGTCTCTAACTTTAAGGAAGGAACACAGACTGAGGGTGTTTGAGAACAGGGTGTTGAGGAGAATATTTGGACTGAAGAGAGATGAAGTGACAGGAGGTTGCAGAAAACTGTATAATGACGAGCTTCATAACTTGTACTCTTCTCCAAGTATAATTAAAATGATCAAGTCAAGGAGGATGAGGTGGGCAGGGCATGTAGCATGAATGGGAGAGACGAGGCATGTGTACAGGATATTGGTGGGAAAGCCAGAATAAATCCCCATGGCCGTTAAATTCTGTTTTATAGACCAGAGCCGCTATTTCCTTGAAACAGCTCCTCAATTATCCTCACGAGGCTGAGTGGACCCCGTTCCAGACCCAGTATTCAGAAAATCTGGTACTGCCTGGAACCCCTGGATTTGTAGCCAGGAACACGGACCACTAGGCCACAGAGGTGGTCTGTCTTCAACAACACTGAACATTAAAATGTGGCATTATAAGACGAAATGTTTTGGTTGGTTTACATTTTGCCTGTGAAGATGGAGACACTATGTTCCTCTGACAGGTCAATGAACTTTTACCCAACTACACCACATTACATTCTACAAAACAGCGTTCTTCAAAGATGTGTAATTTTGGCGTACACTAGCACTTGATATACCTTACAGGTTTTACATTTATTTACAGTGCGTTATAAATTTCTGAGCTTACTGATTTCTGCTATTCCTGTGACAACTTGCAGGACTTCTAGTGCGCTGTCACGCACATCCCAGCTCACATCATGCAGGCGTTTCTGCAAGATAGGACCCACTTGGTCGATGGTGGAGCCCTGAAGTGTGTTCATGAGCAATGCTAGGTTAGGAGGCATGAAGTTCTGGATTGCTACCTTCATCAACTGCAATGCCTGCACAGACAACTGCAACACAATTATGATTCAACTGAGCTGCAACACAATTACGATTAAACTGAAGTGGCTCAAGTGATAACAACTGTGAAGAGGGCGCCAGAAATATGCTGTCCCACTTCCACATGTAGGTTGGTACAGACCACTGGTGTGAGTAACATTATAATATGAATGCATAATTGCAGCATCATGGTTGGAGCTGCTCTGTTTGTGGAAAAACCTGTCCCTTACCTTGCTCTGTGGGTTATTTTATGATTGCTGACAGTAGGTACACTATACAATGCTGAATGGCAGGAAGACTGATGAATTGAAAAAGGTTTTGAAAGAGAAGTGGTTGTGGCCCGATGAAGATTTTATTATTATTATTATTGGAGGGGGTGGGTTTCCCCATGCACTGTGACTAATAGTCTATTGTACGTCCCCCTTTGATATTCTACCAGTCGCCACACCCTACCGGTACTGGTGCTCACTATCAGCCCCATTCAGCCAACGAGGCTGACAGTGGTAGCCAATACTTCCCCATCTACTGGAGGCATTGGAAACTACTTGGGCGGGAAACTTTGCCTAATTTTGCTCAGAGGTCTCCTAGAGACACGAGGATCTGTTACGTGCCATAAATCTACGACACGAGACCCACGGCTTAAAGTCCCTCTCGGAGGACTTGTTCCCTGAATTTTTCTGCCCTTAAAAATTCCACGACCTCCGCCGGGTTTGACCCCGCGTACCTTGAGTCATGAGGTGGGAACGTTACCCCTGGACTACGGAGGCCACTACCCGATGAAGATAATATCCTGACATTTGTCTGGAAGGACTGAGGTAAACCACAAAAACCTCAGTCAGGTAGCCAGTGCTGTGGTTATGATTCAAACTGCACACATCCCAAACATAAGTCTAGAGCGTTACTGCTAGACCAACCTGTTGTTCCCTTTAGTTGCCATCTTTATGGTAAATTAACTCTGAAAATGGCAACTGCAGTGTTTGCCCTGAAAACCAAAGCTACATAACATTTATAGGCCACAAAAACCTAAAGAAAAGATTACAATAAGCAGCTCTGGAAACAGGTTATGACTTTCACTTTCCTTTAAACTAATACCGTATTTCAGCATCCTGCTGCATTAATGTGTCACACACATTCACTTTCATCTTAAATGCAACTTCATTTACAATTACTCCTTTACTTAATAACAAATGCCTCTATTTATATGGCAGATCAAGAGATAAAGCTGTCCCTATACTTAACAAAACACCATTCTATGAAGACATGGGGGAGTGGATGTATAGCTCCACATATTCTTAACCTCTGTATTAGATGGAGGTGAGTGGTCAGCTGGATGACCATACTGCTTTAACCCCTGGGGAAAGAGTCCCAGGTATCCTTTGGATAGAGTGGGCTGTAAACTTGGTCTGGTTGCTATAAAGAAGAGAAATCTCTCTTAATCCTGCCAGGAATCAAACCCTGGTCTCCTGGTCATCCAGCCTGCAGGCTATTCACTTTACTGACTAAGCTATCTCAGCTCACCCATGTGGTAGTCTATATACTGATGATAAACACTTCTGCCAACAATTTCCATCAGTACTGAGTCTGACTTGAATCCTCCAGATATAATCTTGAAGTTTCTTAGTTTCCATATTGTAACTCTTCATACACCAAAATGTCGCCTATAAAATTTATATTTACAGCCTATCTTGTTACAAAATTTTACATGGGGCTTAGAGATCTTGTTGAACTTCAAAGAGTTGTCTTGCATAAGGTAGGATGTGCCCTGAGAGAGGTATCAGACAGTACTGTGAAAACTGAAAACTGCTAGCATGCGTTTGAAAGTGGCTGGACTGGTAGGTAAGCCAGCAGCTGAGTCACTGGGAGTGGCAGTGTTCAGATAACTTCTATTGACACAATGTTCATACCCAGTTTCATTAGAATCTGTCACTTGGTTTGAAAGCAGTATGGCAGATAAAAATGTATGCCAAAAGTGTCTGACATTTTCCTGAATTAACATTTAAACAGTGGTCAAATGGCAGTGGAGCCCCTATTTACTTATGATACAATAATACTGAAATACAGAGACATGCATACTTTGGGTGAGAGGTTGGCATTTTTCAGCAGAAGTTGCGTGAAGCTGAAGAGGCAAATTGTCTCGACGCTCTCCCGCCATGTGATGTGGAAACAACGAATGAGGGAAGCCAGGCCATCGAGAATAGCCCCCAGCAGCTCAGGATATTGAATTACAAACTCAGGCCCTGTCAGACCATCTGCATTAGGTTCTTCAAAAACAAAATCCTTCAGGTTGTACATAAATGCTTGGTACGCAATCACTGCTAACTCCTAAAACAAAGACAAAAAATATGGCTGACATCAGGAAATGAAAACTGTCCAACAGGATGACAAACATCACATCTGCTCAAATATTTTGGCTTCCTCTGATGCACTGTCCCAATTCAACAGTCCTGCTTACCCTGTTCATAATGCTCTTGATCTGAAGAATGCTCAGCATGGTCTGATGGGCCAGCTGATGCTTATTCTCCTGAACTATTAGAATGTCACGATATGAATATGCCAGTCGTTGCGTTTCCTCACTTGTGAGCTGGAATATTTTATGAGTGTACAACTCAAGGCATTCACTGTCCACATTCTTTGTCTTGACACATGTCAGCATTGGCAGCAACTGCAACACATAAAAGTAAAAGTAAAAAGTAAAGCTATCCCTGTAACAGGCCGTGAAGGCCCATAGGGTTGTGACACGTTAAGGGTCCCACATTACCTTGACAATCAGCAGTAAGGTTGTCAGCCTTACGCGCCGGCCGCACTTCACTCCCTAGGAAAATTATTTAATTAATTCCTGGTACTCATTTCTGTTAGAGGCTGAGTAAACCCCAGGGCTTAGTGCAGCCAGAAGGATTAGGTCAATTGAAATAAATCCAATGACCTCATCGGGACTTGAACCTGTGACCTTCCGGCTTGTAGCATAGTACCTTAACCACTACACTACCACGTACCCCCAACTGCAACACATGGTAAATAGAAAATTATATAATGTTCATTTTAGTAACTTCACAGATTTTGACTTACACAGTATGAGTACTTGCCATAACCCTACACACAGGACGCACTTACATTTCATTCTGACAAGTTTCTAATGCTTCAGTTTCAGTTGTGTGCCTGAGATATGATACAATACTCCATTATTTTTAAAATGGACCAACAGTCTTGCTTGCAATGAGACTGGAGGTTTTCAGGGTGGTGAATATGAATATTACTGTCTTCTGAAGTATGGCAAATAGGTACAAATGTTTTAGAACAACCTTCTCCTTCCTTCTTCATGGTAGAAGAGTACACTGTGCTTGAAAAAATGGTCAATGATGTAAGGAAGGGAGCTCTCAGCTTCTTCCTGCCCACAGATGTGGCCATTTTCAGCGACAGAATGCCCCTATTTGTTTGCTCTTGGTCTCAGTTCTAGTACTGCATTCACCACATCACTCACCATATTTTCAAATTTGGTTTACTATCCTACCCTGAAGACGGAGGCAGTAGCTTTCTCTGATAAGCTGTAAGTTGCTAATAAACTGACTACATAGTGTCACACTCCAGAAGGCAGGAATTTCCAAAGCCACTGCTGTGAATCTCATGCCTCATGTAGGCAGTTTCTTGGGGTGGGGTGAGACTTACCGTATTTACGCATGTATAGGCCGCACATTTTTTGCCAAAAATTCAAGAGGAAAACTGGGGTGCGGCTTATATTCGAAATATTCGAAATCACACTTCATTTAAAAAAAATTATATTCATAATTAGTAATACAGGGTGTTCTACTCCTGAAATAATATTCCAAGAAAATTATTTTTTCTATAATTTCTGTCTGAAAATTGTGCTGCGGCCTATGCATGCGTAAATACGGTAATTCACTTTGTATGTCGGTCACTATTTTGCCTACTGTACCAGCCTTGGATGATATGATGACTAATGAACATGGACTGGTTGGTGGAATGAGAACTGGCAGAGGAAACCGAAGTACCCAGTGAAAACCTGCCCCAGTGTCACTTTGTTCACCACAAATCCCATATGACCTGACCTGGACCCAAACCACACTGAGAAGCCGGCAAATAACAGCCTAGCTATGGCACAGCCTTTTTTTGAGATGTCATCTAGGTAGATCGAAACCCCTATTTAAGGCATCTTTTATAAACAGTGAATCTAAATGCCTCACTGAGGAAAACCTTGAATACAGGCTGTATGACGAGTTTACAGACTTGCGATCCTTGAAAGTGAATGGTAAATGAGGGAATACCTTAAATCAAGGACCATTAAATGGAGGTTCACCTATGCATAGTTCATTTTTTTTCCCCATAAAATGAATATAAATTCTTACCTGGAATACTATCAGTTGTGTATCAAAGTTGAAATGTTTAATCTCACTCTGTTCATTTACTGAGACAAATTCTGAGATCTTGTGCCAGCACAATTGGCATTGGACCACAATATTCATGAAGTTTCTGATACTCCTTCTCGATATATGCAATGCCAGCAAGTTGAAGATTTTTTTCTCCATAGCTTTTACTGCTGTCGGCAGAATCTTATTTTCCTCCTTCTCTCGATATACAGAGGTGAAATAGATGAATGTCAGAAGCTTCGAAACTTTTCCTGCATACTCCTCATTATGATCACCATCAAGATTTACTAATAACATCCAAACAAGAGCTTCCAAGTTGAGTTTCTCTATCATATCGGACACGACTGGTGATAAATTGGTGAGAGATGCCTCAAGAATACTGCATGCTAATTCCAATGTTGAAATTACATGCTGAGGTTCAGATCCTTCTACTTTCCCATTTATTTTAGAATCTTTAGCAAGTAAGGGGCTGAAAATATGAGACATGATGCTAGTGGGCAATTCTGGCTCCTTTCCTCCAAGCCTGTCCAGCAGCTCAACAACAAACTTCTGACTTTCACGTAAGACATACAGACTCTGATTTTCATGGCAAAATTTTAACACATCTTTCCATGTTTCTGCAAAGAAATTAAAACAATAATTACACTATATTTAATAAATACAACTCAATTACAATGTAATATATTTTCAATCAATGATCCAATATGCTTGACTCTTATAGGGACAATATCAGGGTACACTTTATATTAAAATTCCCAGTCCATGAATAACATAACAGATGTGTTTTTGAAAATTTTAATGTAAGGTGAAATCACGTTACTCATATACAAATTTCCCATTAGAAATGATGTAATGTAATGCAATGGATAAACTGTGGAGAAGATGTTTACACCCCCCCCCCAAGAAAAGAACAAAAACAAAACAAAACTGATATTAGTACAAATCTGACCATACTTTAAAACCATGTCAAATTGAATTTTATTTTGGCAGAACTCATGTTAGTTGGGGCTAGGTGTTCATTAATTTTAGTGTCTTGTATCTTAGAGAGAAATAAACTACACTACTAATGAGTTAGCAACACAATGGTATTTCAGTCCCAGAGAACCTGAATGTGGCGGAACAAAACATTCTTATGGACCATAATATATACAAGAAATTTAATAAGACTTAATGAATTATGGAAAGTTTACAATGTGTATAAGTTTCTCAGTGTTTCTGGGTCAGTGCTACCATGATAATATAGGTATTATATACTATTATACTTGATTTTTAAGAACTGTAAGGCATTTAAGATAAGAAATCATTATCTGAAAACCTTGAGTGTTTACAGTAAAATGTGGTGAGATAGCTTAGCTGGTACAGTGATGGGCTATGGGCTGGATATCTGTGGAATTGGTATTCAATTTCTGGTAGGGGAAAGAATTTTCTCTGTTCTCCAGAGCATCCATGTTTGTTCTGGAGCTCACTTCCTTTTGATGGGTACCGGAAGCAATTTCTCCAGGAGTAATGCAGCCAGGGCATGAATCTAACTACTCATCTCCATCTAGTGCAAAAGTTAAGAATGCATGCAGCTATACCTTTACTCCCCTCTGTCTTCATGGCATAAGTGCTTAGCTATGCGTAAGTAAGCACATGGACAGTTTTACATTTACTTCTAACGATGGCCCTTTACCAGCCAAAACATGTATAGTCATCAAAAATATGTTACACTCTAATTTCTTGATATTTACTATAATATAATATAGTATGTGTATATTACAGTGGTATGAAAACTAATGCAAGAATACTACTACTAGTGGTGGTGGTCATGGTGGTTGTAGTAGTAGTAGTAGTAGTAGTAGTAGCAGCAATGGTGATAGTTGTAGTAGTAGTAGCAATGATTATACACTTTTAATATTAACAACAAAAAATCTGCCACAAAGGTGTAGAAGACCCAGTTATGCTGCAACCTTAGCTTGGAACTGCAACAGCAAGAGCAGTGCTTACGCTGTAAAGTCGAAAATGATTTTGCCAAGCTGAAACGTGGGACAGCATCAGTGTAATCATGAACACGTTGCTGTTGACAGTCTACTGGTGCAGTCCCAATGAGAAATTGCAAGAACACGCCTATTAACATCATCATGTTTGTCTGTCTGTGTGTAACAATTTCAGAACCACTGAATGATTTTCATTAACTATAAGTATTTACTGGAGTGGAAAATGTTTTAGACAGTTGCAAAGAAAAATGAAATGTATGTCCACTTAAGTGGACGTGAGTTTGATCCCCAATGAGGTCACTGCATCTTTCAGTTGACCTAATCCTTCCAGCTTCATTATGGTCCTGCGGTTGACTCAGCCTCTAACAGAAATTAGTACCAGGAAACTTCCTGGGGGTAAAGGGCAGTGAACATGTAAGGCTGACAACCTCGCTGCCATCTGTAAGCCGACAGTATGGTAAATGTGGGAGTCTCGACATCTCACAACCCTATGGGCCTCAATAACCTGTTATAGGGATAGGTTCACCTTTTTAACCTACAGTGAAGCAAAACAAACATGACGTTATGCCCATCCATCCTTCTCCCTGCTCATCACATGTCTATTGCATGTTACATGTTAAGACAGCAACAAAAGTCTGGATTCACAGACTTGAGAATCAAGAGACAATAAGAGATTGAATGTGCCAGAATTGTTACACTATGCACACTCTTCATTTGTTAATGTATTATTGTGGGGACAGTGCCCAGTGGGATCACATCGCCTACAATGTGTGCAACTCTCATTCAACTGAAATACTGAAACCCCCCTTTCTGGAATGTCTGGGAAACTACTCAGCTAAAAAGAAAGACTGAGGTTATCCATGAACATTCTAAAATTGTCCCCAAAGGTGTCATGCCTACAAAAAGAACAGACAAGTGAGAAGTGAATGAGTCAGTCAGTTCTCAGTGCTCTGTGCTGTGCATTAGAGTGGCGCTAATGAGTGGAGCAGAACTTTGTGAGTTTTTCAGTTTTCAGTTCAGCATAGTGCAGCACAGCTAAGAAAAGAGAAAAGGTGAGTGCAATACTGTGACCAATGATGCTGCTGTGAGGTAATAAGTGGACAAAGACCTGATCTCAAGAGCATAAGTGGTTACGAATGGTGCAACAGTAACTGCTCCGTAAATTGATGACCACTGTAATATTACAATTTACATTTTCTGAGAAGATTACCAGGGTACACCTTGAAGACACAAGAAGATGAAGTAACACTACATATTCGCTTCATATAGGAATGGCCAGCTTCAAGCTTAGGCCACAGAGAAACCACTTAATATAACTAGTCTAACAGCATGGAGAAACTTACAAATCAATGAAGCATGCATAACAATATTGATAATAACACTACATTGACATCCTGGAAAACTGCATAAATAACATGCATATCACCCACAGCAAATGGAGTGGAGCACAAATAAATCCAACACTGAGGAATATTCTCAGGCAAATATCTTTTAAATGAATGGACAATGACCACAACTGAAATAACATGAAGACATTAATTAATTTTAATTCGAAAATATTGTGTTCACACGCAACATATAACTTCAACATATAATGTAACAAAATAAACGTCTGATGATGGCTGTACATGGTCGAAACGTGTAGGAAAGAAGGATGACTGGATAATTAGTTGCATTTAACTATTTCAGAGGAACATATCACCTCCATCTTCAGGAGTGAAAACTATTGGGTCAGCTTGCTATTGCTGGTTTCTTGCTGGGCTTATTCTTCAGCCCTGAAGATGGAGGTGCCATGTTCCTCTGAAATGCTGGGCTTTTTCTGAACTACAAAGAATAACAACCAAGAAGGCTGTACAGCTGCACCATAGCTCAAGCGGTTAGTCACTGGCTTCCCACTGCGGCAGCCCAGGTTTGATACCGGGTCTGGTCAAGTGGGATTTGTGGTGGACAAAGTGGTGCTGGAGCGGGTTTTTTCTGAGTACTTCGGTTTCCC